TTTACAAAAATTAGTAGCACCACCATGAAATTTGGTTCTACTTTCCTTTATTTGGGCTCTTCACTGGCATAATTCCATTGACTCCAACAGAGTAAGTCCTAGCAAGAGAAGAATCGGGGCCATGTCATAAAGGAGCTCGAAAGCAATCACTTAAAAAGTGTTCCGTTCCAGTGATGTGGCTCGTGGAAATCTGCAATAACCTGCTGGTTCCTATTGGCTTTCCTGGGATTCTTTAGAGCAGCACAGACACTCTGCTTACAGTGGCACAACCCCAAAGTAAATTCCCCTTGTTTGCAAGCGCTCAGCATGCATTACAACTGAAAGCACCATCCAGCCAATGCAGGGATGCTAGCTGGCTCTATGGACGTATGCTGCAGAGATTCTAGCATTCCTTGCTCCTGGAAATTTCTTTAATACAATGGCTTAGGCATGGACACATACGCTGCAGGAGAAGGATGAAATGTTTGCTTTGCAGCATCCAGGTGTTATTAGCTATACACTCCTCTTACGGTAAAATAAAATAAAATTAAGCGTTGTTGTAAATGAAGTACCTGATCCTGGACTGGCTTTACAGCAGGAAGAACACCCATTAATGTCAAAGGGAGTTCCGAGTGTGGAGCACTTTCAAGATTTTATAGGGACCTTTCTTCAAGGAGAACCTGAAAATTGTTTACTGTCATTAACCACCATCAGCCAAACACCTCGTTATTGTTTACCTGCACATACACGTTTTTAAATCAGAAGCAGTGTCGGACTGATCCTGTCCTTCTTACTCAGGCACAACCATCCTGAGAGCTTCAGTCTTTACTCTGGCAAAATGGGAGTTCTGACTGCATGAGGACTGCAGGAGTTGGCCCTAGCTAAATAAAAATGATTGGGAGAGGGGAATCAAGGAAGACAGCATACACACTTTCACTACTACTGATCACCAGTTCAAATCCAACCCATGTCAGCGGCTGCGGGAAATCACTACCATGTGATACCTGTTTGGTGATGTATGTGAACTGAAATGACATTCTTAGGGCTTCTTCCATAGCTCATTGATATCAATGGAGTCTTTTCAATGAGTTTTGGATCATGCCCTCAGCAGGCAGTTATGCACATCACATAAACCACAGTGACCACTGGTGGGAAGCCTGAATAGAGGCCAAAGATTAAATGGGGCTAGGGACAGAGCTACTATCTCATTTCTAGAAGGCAGAGGACCCCTCAAAAAGGACTGAAGCCCATTATCACGCTTGCTTTAGCACTGCTGAAGCGGTTCTTGTTCTCTAATTAGGGGATTTCAACCTTCAAGGCTGTCCACCCAACACCCTTTACAAGCACTAAATTCACTCAAAATAACAAATTGTATTAATTTAAAACTGGAAAGCAAAAACTCTGCAATAGCATCAACAAAAAAACGTTACAAAAATTAGATTTCACATAGATGAAAATCATTACAATTCTCTAGAGACTTCCCCTCTCTGCAGTAACCCATGTCACTTCCTAGCTAGTAAAAAACGTGCCACAGGATATCAAAAGACTGTAACGTTCTTCTAATTTTAATATTCCTCTCATCAAATAATGAGTTGTTTACTGCCTTCTAATTTAAAGGTAATTCATTAAATGTATCCTGTCACGTCTAATGGGTAGCCGAGGCATGAGAACAACACATACTCCTGGGGAACATCAGGGGCAGTGTGGGAATACTTCATGCGGTTCACTGAAATTTAATACTTCCTACATATACAAATTGCAGTGATAATATATATTATTTAATAACTGCAAGGAAACAATATAAATGAAACACACCAGTGATTGAACTTGGTGCACAAAATATTTTTAAATAGGTTCAAAAGTGTGAATGCTAGGGAATGTGAAAAAATAGTAGAGGAATGTATACCAGTTACAAGCAGACCATTTTTGGTATATCCACAAGTGGGTTTGATTCAACTTCCACTGAAGTCAATCAAAATCTCTTCATTGGATCAGGCCCAAAATGATCATACAATAACGTTCAAGTGAGTGTCATGAAGTGGAGGAGAACAGGCTGTACATCGATATTATGTACATTGCAAAAGTTGGGTCAGATTCAGTAATATTGGCCCAATACTGCAAAAGCTACCGAAAGCGATTGGTTTTTTTAATTGGGATGTAGCAAGGTAGTAAAAACATAGGGCCCAGATCTGCAACCCTTCCTGGCTACTCATATAGAGGTTGCAGTAGGATCACATCCAAAGCACTAATGGTATTTAGTGCCTGCAAATATATGATGTTTAGAAACAGGATTGTTCAGATGACAATGCAAGGTCTGGATTGAGAACTCATCAGGTTGTTGTTTTTTAAAAATAATCAGGCAGTAGCACACTGTACTAATGTCTGGTTTACTGAAAACTAAGGTAAGAACATTCAACCCATCTCTTAACCAGAAGTCTTTGAAAAGTGGGTATTTTTCAACTTCTTTTGGGGGCAGGAGAAAGGCAATCCAAACTTGTTAAGCATCAGTCCATTCTGTCAACCCTTGCCCTATTCATCAGAAGCAATGCAGAATCACTAGATCAGTTTTAGAATACAGTTTTGGTCAATGTGTGTCCAAAGCAGTCACCTGATTGGCTGTTGGTGATGTCATACCCCAGTGACTGCAGTTTTAACATCATGCACATTACCCCAATCATCTACATAGCAAGTATCATCAGTGTAAGTGCTAGTAAATCACTGCAACAGAGAATAAAGCTACTTGTTGAAAGAGAGTGAAAGAGATCGGGTGCTTTAAAATGGTTATCTTCAGTTTTTATTTTCGAAGTGGAATGGGGTCAGCAAAGAATGCCTGCTTCATTGAGAGGAATGGGGATTGTAATATCCCTAGCTAAAATAAAAAGTGTGTGTGTGTGTTCAAAAGGTCCCATTTGAAAATGTTAAGAGGTTGCCAGGGGTAAGACAACAATTGGTCCAGGAAATAAAAACTATTTCAGGAACCATAATGTTTGGCAAAATGAAGTCAAATCCATTTCTCAGGAACAAAAATGTAACCGTGACATCTGCAAAAATAAGCTTCCCTGATTGCTCGTGACATTTTCACAAGTAGAACAGCCATGAAAATACATTATTTACATCAAATATTGATACTCTTAGTAATGTAAATTGACATGCTGGTACTTTCTTAGGGGGGTGGCAAGACAAGTCAAATCTGAAGGCAGATGTACTTAAAAAAAGCATTGTAAAATGCTAGGTCTACCTTGAAGTAATGGAGGTCCTGATTGGTGAATTGATGCACATATGAAAGGCAGTTTGCACATACCCAGCTGGTCACTTTGGGAACAGATAAGTCATTATTTATCCATAATGATTCTGATAACTGCATTCATGAATTTAAGTCACTTCATGGATTAAACTGTATCATTACCTGTTTGAAGAATAAATGTTGCACTTCGCTAATCGTTTAGTATAAAAGTGCAAATTCCTATTGCTCCCTTTAAATCTACATAGCAATTCTAATTACAGAACATGCAAATATGCACTAAGTGCATGCTATGAAACACCGTGCCAGAAAAGCATAGATGTCAAAGCAATCCCGAAACACATCTGTGCTCAGGTTGTAAGGCGATGATTAAGCCTACCCCTTGGAGGATTCTCAGCGGCACACGGGGAGTATGCTGTCAGGAGTTATTTGTTTTGTACCGCTGAGTAATCAGTGGGAAAGAGTCAAACTATCATTTAAATTGGCGATATAAAAACATCCTATGAACCTTCTTATGCTGAGTATTTTAAACAGTGTTGCGTATGCACACCCAGTGTTGGGCACGGCTGACCCAAGCGGAGCGCAGCGGACAGACGCGGACACGTTTAGGGCAGGAGAGGGAACATTTCAGTCTGGCGCTCGGGGAGTCTCCCAGAATCAGAGCAATAACTCCGGCGAACCAAATCCAGCTGCGGTTAGAAGCGGCGGACGCTCATTTGTGGGAAGGCTCAAGGTCTGCAGCCCTTCAAACACAAGTGATCCAAAGTAAACCCAAAGCTACCGACCCACACTAGCCCTGTTCACCCGCGGAGCGGGAATGGGGGGAAGAGGACTCCGGAGACGGGCAATAGCAGAGCCGCAAGAGGAAGGGTAACCACCTTGAACTCGGTAGGCGGATGGGAGCGAAACTTTGTTTAGCCCCTTCCAGGGCTTCCCTGCCTGGCATCTCGAGCGCTCGGAGGAAGAGGCGAGGAAGAAAACAGGCGGAGCAGACAAGCGAGGAGAGCCCGGCGAACCGGCGCTGCGCTCCGGGCCAAGAGGAGGGCGGATCGCGGCTGTCCCAGGACCCGGGGGCCGAAGCACTTATCTCCCGGATAAATGGCACGCTTTATGGATGAGCTCCCCGGCGTGATTCAAGCGGGACCGCAGGAGCGCTTCCTCGGCGGGCCCGGCTGCAGGGGGTCAATAGGCTGGAGGAGGAAGGAGGGGACCCTCCTCCTGTATCCCACAGACCGGGCACATCTCCGCCCTCCCCCAGCAACCCCGATCCGTTCGGCACCAGTTCCCCCCGGCCGCCGCCGCTGCTGCCCCGTTAGCCACATCAGCAGCCCGCCACAGGGGGGTCCTGGGGCAGAGCCCACCTCCGGCCGTGGGCAGCCTCTTCGCCAGACCGCGTCCGGGCAGAGCACTAGCCATCGCCGCCCCCAGCTCGCCCGGCTGCCACTAGCCCGGGCTCCGAGCTCGGACTCACCCAGCTCGCCCGCCTCCAGGGCAGCCGCTCGCAAGGGCTCTCCCCGGAGGGAGGGTGATGGGGCCGCTCACACACACACCCCGGGGTCCCCCGAGAAGCGGGGAGCCGGCACCGAGCAGCCCAGTGCCCCCAGCCCCGCCGGGACACCGGGGGACAAGTGCTCCCGGGTCCTTTCGGAACAAGCCCCTTCCCCGGATTTAGGGGTCCCCGGCCCCCCAAGGAACCAAAGGGGAGGGATCCAGACCTGGCGAGCCGCCCGCTCCCTCTTCCCCGAAAGTTGGGAGACCCAGCCCCGGCCCCTGGTCTCACCTGGAGCCGGTCTGTCTGCTCCAGCGACGGACGGACCCGGTCCTCTCCCGACGCGTCTTCAGCCGTGCGCCAGGGGCAGCCGGGCGCTCGCCATAGCCCCGCGCCCGGCTCCGGGGCGCAGCTGCAGCCGGCGGGTCCCGGCGCCCCCTCACTTACCCAGGCTCGTCGCCCATGGCCCGGGCAGAGCCGGGGAGGGAGGGAGGAAGTTCCGAAGCAGCCGGGTCGGTGGGGCGGGTCGCCCCCCACCCCGGGACTCCCCCCGCGGGCAGCTGCGTCCGACTCCGGGGCGAGCCCCAGCGCGACGAGGGCAGACTCAGCCGGGGAGGCTGCAGCTCTGGTTTGAAACTAGAGTGGCCCAGAAAGCCACCCCCCTGCCCATGGCAGCCGGCCCTGATTGGCCAGCCCCGCTCCCTCCCCCGCGCTGGGGGCGAGTCCCTGCCGCTGGCTGCGGGGGCGGGACGGGGGACGGACAGCCGGCCGGCCCCCAGGTCTGCCCGCCCCTCCCCGTGCTTTCCGGGCGGCCCCGCCGGAACCCCGCGATGGCCCCATCAAACCCAGCAGGGGAAGGTTTCCGAGCCTTCATAACGGGGCTGGGGGAGGGAGATTTCATAGGTGAGCTGAGTCCTGACACCTACCCGCGTCCGCTGTCCCCCATCCCGTGCAAATACTGGGCGGGCTTGGGGTAACCAACGCTGCGGATGCTGCCAGCCTTGGGCCAGGGCCGTCTGCGCGGAAAGCATAAGCCGCCGGAGCTAAGGAGCTACCTGGGAGCGCTTGCAAACCCCTTGATCTCCTACGTGGACAGAGACCCAGGAACCCACATTCGCGGGGAGGAGACCTCAGAAATCATTTTCTCCCCCCTCCCATCCCCTTGTTTATGTACAGAACTATCCGCCTTCCAGTTAATGTTCCTTACCCACTAAGTATCAGAGGGGTAGCCGTGTTAGTCTGTAGCCACAAAAACAAGGAGGAGTCTGGTGGCACCTTAAAGACCACCAGGTTTATTTGGGCATAAGCTTTCGTGGGTAAAAAAACTACTTCTTCAGATGCCTGGAGTGAAAATTACAGATCCGGGCATAAATAGATATTGGCACATGAAGAGAAGGGAGTTACCTTACAAGTGGAGAACCAATGTTGAAGGCCAATTTAGTCAGGCTGGATGTGGTCCACTCCAGCTAGTTACTGTATTTGTTTCCCTCACCCCACAATAGGACCGTGTCCGCAGTCCCATTCTCCATTACGCGGCCCCTGCAACATAAAGAGGGATGCCCTAGTGCAAATGCCCCTCAGCACAGAAGTCTCCACTTTCAGTCTGGCAAACAGTTCCCGGGTCAGCCAGAGATGTGGGAACTCCGAAGACTCAGAGCTCAGATTATCATCCTGGAAGATGGCTGCTCAGCTGAGCCCACAAAGGCTCCAAGCAACCTTCCCAAATACACTAACCCTTCCTTTAAACAGAACTTAGGTCCCTCTCCCTGCTATCTCTTCAGAGGGCGGGAGGAAGCACAGTACTTGTTGTTCTTCCTTTAGCATCTTCCTACTGCACCCCATTCTCTTTCTTTCCCCCTCTTTCTGCTCCATAAGGTTCCCAGTTCCTCTTGCCCCTGCCATCACGAGATAGCGCACAGTAAAAGTGGAGACGCCTTTTGTTTCTGGGAAGTGCCCTATTCTATGCATGCTGCATCCCCAGAGCCCTGCAAGTGAGGGAACACAAGTTGCTTGCCGTGCAAGATCTCGATGTTTTTCCCAGGTTGCACGGCACACGCTGCTCTCCCACTCAGCCCAAGCTTTTAGCTGTCTAGCAGAGCCACTGCTAGGATCAGAGAGCTAGGCGTGCCCTAGCTGGGGGAAGAGGACAAAGCCAATTCCCAAGCAAAGGGTTGGTCTGCAAATCCGGTCAGCATCTTCTTTTGAAAACACCGGCAACTTGGCAGGCACGATAGCATGCCAGAGGCTTGACCTGCCAACCTTCCTCGGGTCACAGGTCTGGTCAGTAATATACTGCATCCATAAGAAAATGGACTGTCAAATTTAGGAATTAAAATTCAGTGACATTTAGTGAAAAATGATGTTTTACTGGCAGTTTTCTAGTGGCTGGATGCAGGGGTCACTGACCTACTGGGTGACCTTGGGCAACTCCACTGCTCACTTTCCTCTCTCCTCCTTTGACTGCCTTCTCTATTTAGACTTCAGATTCTTTAGGGAGGATTTGTCTCCTACTGTGTGAGTGTATTGTGCATAGTACAATGGCACCCGATCTTGGCTGGGGCCTTTAAGTGCTATTGCAGTACCAACCATCATCAACATGTAATGCAAAGAGATAGTGGATAAACTGAATGGACCACCTCAGGTGTTCTGAGCAAAGCTGAAAAGGTTATTCGTATTGTGGATTTCAACCAGGTATGGTCCTTCAAATTGACCTTTGCCTAACTTTTCCAGCATTACTGTATGTAAGACCTTAAAAATCACTGTACCTTCTCTAGCGCAATCTGTTGTATTTTTAAATTTACAGTGGCAAACGCAACCCATTTAGATAATTCAAGAATGAGAGAGAGGGGCCCACAAAATCCAGTTCCACCAATGAAAGGTTTCAGAGTAGCAGCCGTGTTAGATCCCATGCCTCCCCTCTCCCTTACGGCCCAATCCTACTCCTAGGAAGGAGAGGGAATCAATGGTAGTTTTAATGGTGACTTAAATTGGAGGAAGATAAAGCCCTTAGTGTCAGATTTCATTTCTTCCTCCATGCTTAGCTTAGTGCTCCCACTCTCTTTTTCTTTAAACCTGCCTCCAAATTTTTGTGAATCCTTCAGACAATAACATGAAGAAAAATGCCCTTATTCGCCCATTATACATATTTTAAAAGATTTGAGATAGAACCAGAGGAAGGTTCTATCTGTGTGGTTTGGGTTGTCCTCCTGCTTCTGTTGTCAGCTCTTCAGGGCTGGGACCACATCTTCTCCTCTGGCACATACAGTGCACTGGCAGCATTTGACAAATAATCATTATTGTAATGGGGTTGCACATCAGTGCACAATTCCAACTATCCGGGCTGGGGAGTGGTAAGAGCATTTGTTGTGTTATGACTGTGTTCTAGGTGAACTATTTTATAGAGAAAGAATTTACATCTTCTGTTTAAACTTTTTTCCTGCTTTTCCAACAGAAAACATTGAAGTGCCATTTATGGTTTGGTCAGTGCAACCTCACTTTGCACCTAATTGCAAGTTACTTTTTAAACACACACATACACACACACCGATCCAATACTCTTACACGGGTACAATGGTGATTGGTGCATTCGATATAAACTGACAAGCCTAAATTTTCAAATGTGGCTAATGTTTTTGGTTGTAACAATTTTTGGGTGCCAACCTGGAGGTAGCTTTTTAGAAGTGCTGACCACCCACCTTCTGAAAATCAGGCCTTTTTGAAAGGTATTTGACATTGGTGACTCAAAAATGGTGGCACTCAAAATCACTAATCATTTTTTAAAATTTAGGCTCAGTCAGTCTGTTTTTCTTTTCCTCTCTTGGCTGCAGAGGTGCTATTGTGGTGTCCCTACTATCCTCTTAAGGTGAAATTCACCCCTACCCAGAGGAACAGCACACACCCATGCACTGCTTACAGCCCATGTAGGCCTTGTGCTGAATTTCACTCTGAGTGTGAAGCAGCCATATGGACAATTGATGACTGCTCAGAGCTACAATTTCATTTCTTTACAGCTAGGCTGTGTGCCATTTACTACTTAGTCTTCATCTCATTGCTACTTCACCCTGCATAAGTTTGTACTGCTTTAGACCTACCTACCCTATGCAAAGTACTAGAGTACTAGGTCATACACGGCATTTGTGTGGGAGGCGCTTTGAGCATGAGACAGGCCTGAGAACTCACCCCAGCTCTGACGAAGTCTCTGTCTTTGAACAAATCTCTCACCCCAACTCAGTTTCCTCATCTATACAATGGGAATATTAATACCTATCTCATAGGGGTGCTGTTCAGACAAATTAGGTGATGGCTGTAAAGCATTTTCAACGTACAAATGCTGAACAGATGCTTTTTAGTGAATTGAGAGCACTTTTCAAATACCATCTAACTGAAACTTCGAAACATCCCTGCGAGGGGAATTATAATTCCCATTTTACAGATGAAAAACCCAGCAAAGGGATTAAGGTCTTAATCCTGCACCATTTAAATCATGAACTCTCCCCCTGCTGGCTTTAGCCCTACATGATTTGCCCAATGTGAACAAGATAGTAAACCTATAGGAAAGGATTAGAACCTGGTCCCCAGTCCTGTGATCAAACCACCTCTTCCTTTCACAGACCCCACTCCTCACAGCTGGGGCCATGCCAACAATATTTACACTGCCGATCATCTTTTAGCTTTGCAGTTACCAGGGTCCACTGCTTCCCTCCAACAGAAGTAGGCTTGTACCTTTTGACATCTCACCGGACTCTGTGACTGCCTCGCCAAGATGAGCCAGAGTAAATCCTGGATACGTTTTAAGTCTTTTGATGATTTGAATAATTAAAAGGCTCATTATTTCTAAACATGTTTAACCATTTTTTTCTATTTCTGCTTGCAAAATTAGCTGATGCCCGTTTTAAATAAACAGCTATTGTGCAGTTAAACAATGATTAAAGAAGAGTTCCATTTAAATTATTAAGTGGTTAGATAAAGAGCCTCCCTTCTCTTTTGTACACTACTTTATTCAGAAGTCAAACTTCTGTAGTCTCAGGGAATGCTAATGAACAGCATAATAACGCACAAGGGCAAGAGCAGGCTGATTAATTAAAAACAGAAGCCAGAAATCAAAGGTCTTAAAATAGGCTTACAAAAATAATTCAATTATAGTTTATGAACCTAGGATAACCAAGACACGTCCCACACTTTCATTCATCATTAGACCCCATTTTAATATCTAAACTGGCTTGCTTGTACATGGGAAGTGGTGCTAATTGGGTCTTTCAGGTGTGACGCTTACATAACGAGACAAAAGCAACCTGACGCTCACGTCCAATTTTCATCATTCGGTAACTTGAAAATGGCTACACTTGACTGAGCGTATTCTCAGTTTAACTGATTTACTAACCTATTTACTAAACTGATTTACTTGAACTGGTTTACTAAACTATTTTCAGTCGTGACCCATTTCTGCAGTTGTTGAACAGTCCATTGCACTATCACTTTACAAATTAATTAATTAGAAGCTCCACACCCATAATGTCAGCCTCATCACAAATCCACCTCATAGAATCAGAGAAGATCAAGGTTGGAAGGGACCTCAGGAGGGCATCTAGTCCAACCCCCTGCTCAACGCAGGACCAATCCCTGGTCTCTCTACTTGG